AGGGCAGGTAGGGTACCAGGGTCATCAGTTCCCAATACTCGAGACTACGTACCCTTTTATGGTCTTCCAGCTGCCTCAGTGGCGGACTTGGTTCAAGCTCCTGCTAAGCATGTAGAAATTCCATTTTAAGTATGACACTGTCATCTTCAGCATCAGTCATGAGCAAATGCATCAAGAGCTAGGATACAGCAATGACTTACAGGTTTTGGTTTCCAGACAAAAGACTAGCACTCACGTTCTTTCAGACCAAGCCTGTTGTCAGAGAGCCATCTTTGACTCATGGAGGCCCCACGTGCATCACAACAGGATGGTCCTCCACGGTGCTGCCTGTGGCTGCGTTTTCAGAACTAGATCCTTAGGCCTTTGTTCTGAGTCACCTCTGGGTTGACTTGAACTGCCAACCTTTTGGTTAGCGGCCAAGTGCATTAACCATTTGCACTTCTCATTTTCTTTAGGCACTCTTCTTTTGATTAAAAATCCTGGCCCCTGCCAGTGCCCTATTTTAAATGAGCAGGCACATGACTTTCTGCCAGCATGATTTTTGGCAAAGACGGTGAGACGGGAGTTGGACACACCTTTCCTTTACCTTCAGAAGGGGTTATAGTGCAGGGCTCACCCAGGCAGGCCCTTGTGAGTCACCCATGCATTACTACACAGCACATGCAAGCGGGAGAGGGGCGAGGGGAGACACCGAGACACACACTGCTGAACACACACACACACACACACACACCTGGGTGCCAGCACTCTAACCAAGGCTGCACACAAGGAATTGCTCAGGTTATGCCATGAGACACTAATCGGCATAAAGCCTCTGCTATCTGAAACCATGCTTGTGTTGCAGGTTAAGAGCTCCAATCTCTGCTTTCAAATAAAGGAGATGTCGCCCTCGCTTTAACTATGGTGGTTCCCAAGCAACCTCTGACTGTGAATGCGGACCCTCAGAAGCAACCCTTCCTAAACAGCTTCTGTATCCTCATCAATGCTAGCCCCTTGTTTAATAAGTGTGGTGAGCGAGGGGGAAGAACAGAGCTACATCAAATGACAATTTTATAGCAGCTTTCTCCCAAACGAGACTTCTAGAACTTTGAAATGATGCTATCCCTGCACAAGACCGAGATGGAGTGTGGATGATCACAGCCACTGTCAGGTCCACCCTGGCCAACGGCCAACCCTGATGCATGACCAGACGACACGCTGCGCAGTCCTGTGCCATCTCCCTCCCAGCCGGTTTGGGATCAGACCGTTGTGATCCGCTGAGTCTACACTGGCTGGACTTCAGGCGGTTGTCGAGCCTTTCTCGTCTCAGTCTGCATCAGAGTAACCTGCAAACCACCACGGGTAGGTGATGGGCACTATGCACTCGCTGGTAAGCAAGCCTGGGATACTAGCAAGGCAGATGAGAAAGGAGTTGATCTACCACTGAGTTAGAAAGGTCTTAAGCCTCTGACTTAAAGCGACTGAGCATTTTAAGACCGAGACAGGCGGTTTTGCATGAAGACTTGGCAGGCTTTCACTTGAAGGGTTCCTTTGGTTGAGCCCCAGCTGCTCAGTCTCCATCCTGCACTAGAGACTGTCTCTTACACACACCACCTGGGAGAGCTTCCACAACGACTGTCCAGGCACTCTACCAGGACAATTGAGAAGCACCCTTATTTGCCAGCCCGGCAAACGCAGGTGAGCATCAACACACCTCTGTGGAGTTCTCCGCGTCCGGAGCAGGGGGCAGCTAGTTGGAAGTAAAAGGAAGCACATTAGTTACAGTCCTCATGTCCAGTGAGCCCGAGACCAACACCCACAGACACAACACTGAGGGAAGACCAAAGACGAGGGGGCTGCATCACCCGCCCAAGTGGGCATGGGCAATGCTGCCGAGGAGAGACTGCCTCTTTTACACAAAACTGAATGTGGTTGTGCTGGAAGACAGGCTGGGATGGGGAAACACATTTGAAGCAAGGAAAGAAGCAAAATTCTGTACTACACACCCAGAAGGAAATACAATTAAAAATCATGAGGTGTCGATGGCATCAGGTTTCAGGTATCAAAAGATCCAAAACAAACTATACTGATGAGAAAGAAGGGGGTTGGAGTGGAGACCCAAAGCCCATCTGTAGACAATTGGACATCCTCCCATTGAAGGGTCACATGGAAAGGACGATTCAACCAGGGTGCAGTATAGCACCAGTATAGCACATCATTTCTCTAGTTCCCAAATGCTTCCTCCCACTGACTACCATGACCCAGTCCT